ATGTTTGGAAAATTTCATTCTATTAGCTTACTATTATCAATATAAGTTGGGACTGGCATAACGCCCTTTTTAAGATACACACACACATATAATAAAGAAACACACACACACACACACAGGTTCTTGTTACCTTTGTCTATCTGAACTCTGTTTTGCTGAGATATAGTTGTCATGCTTTCCTGGCAGATAAAAGAATTGCACCCAAGGCAGCAAATGATGTAAAGTTGATAAGTGCTGGGAAAATTTTGGAAAACAACAAGACTGTTGGTCAATGTAAAACACCTTTCGGCGAGCTACCTAATGGTGTGATTACCATGCATGCTGTTGTACAGCCATCTGTAGGTAAATCAAAATCAGGTAGGTTCCTCTTACTAGATTTGTAGACAATATGTACTGGTTTTTCCCTTTTGTGTATGATGTGTTTGTTTTTTAGGATATTGGTGATTCTGTTATCTAACCTAACTAAATATTTGCTTTCAGAAAAATAGAGGAAAAAAAATTTCTTCTGTCTCCTTTTCAATATCTTGAATGTTTAGCAATATAGTAAGTTCTACATACCATATTTTTAACATATTGCTGTTTAATGGTTCTCGCCTAATTACTTTATAAGAAAATGTCTATGGTACTTGCCAAAATTGATGATTGCTATGGCTCTTGCCGTGGAGTAAGATTTTCAAATATGTAGTTTTGGTTGCAGTCTTTCATATGGAGTACTGAAATTTTTTGCATTTGGAACAGAGAAAATGAAATTAGAACCTCATTGCAACCATCATAGATACAATACTTAATTAATTTTTCAAATGATGGAGACTCAATCACTGATCTTTTACGTTTAAGCTTGCATGGTATTTCTTCATTTTAAAAGAGGTCAAATGCGTTTACTACAAATTGAACTGTATATTCGTAAGCTGCTTGACCTGAGGATCTAGTTGAAAACCTAAATCTAGCTTATGTCATACAGTATAGTGTTTCATATGCCTCCAACTTCAAGTGATTCATACAATCCACATATGCAAGAGTTGCTCCATACCAACTTACCAAGCGGTCCAAGCCTACCTTAAATTTAAAGCAACTAGGGAAATCTCCTACAGAATATTAATTATGGTTGCGTATCATGACATAGTTGGAATTACTATTAGCTTACAATTAAGAGCATGCGTAATCAAGTCTAATTTCACCTAATTCAATAAATGCTACATGTAGGAAAAAACATTATTTCTTCGGTTCTAATTTACATGAATTGTGGCGATGCTTGTATAGAACAACAAGAACAAACAAAATTAGAATTGATATTCACCAAAAAAGGTTTAAAAAATGATATGGTCCAGGAAACTTGCCAAAACACCACTAGACACTATATTGGGGAGACTCAGGAGGTTAGGTCATCTATGTAAAGCATCTCTTACTTTATTAATTATTTTTACTGAGACATTCCATGTTATTATCATATTCATGAGCCTGCAAGAATAGAAATATTTTTATATAGATTGAGATGACTGTTTTTTGCTATTGGGTTTAGTCAATAATTTGTTTATCTTAGTCTCATTTCTTTTTACCACCATCAGGTGGGCAATGGTAGCTTCGGATGTTAGCTTGGTGGGTGGGGTATTAAAGAGAGTAAAGTTAAAAGTATATTAAAGGAATCAACATAAGTGTATACTATGCTGGAGCTAACTACTAAGAAGGAAACACATTGATAAATGACCTTCATTAATGCATGTTTGTGGTATATCTTTATGTTTCTCGTTCTTCTTACGTCCAAAGAGGTAAGTCCTGTTGGTTGTTTGTGGTTGGCCTGATTGCTGAATTTTCTGAAGATCTAAATGTGCTAACAGATTGACCTTTCCTGTTGAAGTGTGGTTGCTTATATATTCATGTCAAGGTGCTTAACTGAATCCTATCCCAGTGGGTTTTTGTTTTTGAAAATTACTCTCGAGTTAGCTCTTTCATTAATACCCTCCAGTAATGTTTCGCGGATGTCTATTTTTGTCTAATGCTAAGTTCTGGTACTCAGAAAAAACTTGTCTCTCGTGTATCTTAGGCTTCAATAGCTGTACTTTAAAGAAGATTTGCACCTTCTGATCTTGACATGAACCCACTTTGTTCTAATGCTTAGTTGAGGATCATCCTTGACCCCTAGCCGTGCATCTTTTGTTGTAAAGTTTATCTATTTGCAGATACGTATAAGTCCAATCCTATGCCTGTTTTCATATACTTGACAAGTATTTACAGTCAGGATTGTGGTGTTAAAAATTCATATATTTGCTTTTTTAGTTGCTGAAACTTTTCTTTATGTAACAGAAAAGAAGATGGACGAGACTCCAAAGAAAAGCGTCTGCGCGTGTGCCATATTGTGAGTTTGTAAGTGATTCGGTTTAATTTTGTGATATTCTTGGGTTTACACCGCTGCTGTGATGTTCAGTTAAGAGAGTCAATAATTGAAACAGTTTGATAGCTCATTATTACTTGTTTGTTGAACAGCATTTCAGTGTAACAGCGTCTATTTGTTTTCATGAATTTGGTAGGTGTAAATTTTGTAATTGCAGATTTTTATACACAAATACAGAGCAAGGCTGGATTACATGCAGAAGGATTCTAGCCAGTTCTTGTTGTTCAACTCCGGGTCAATTATTATTTGACGTAGACCGTTTAATGGTTGCGGTTAAAACACTTCAGAACTTATTCTGCCTCCTAGACTAGGATAGTTTTTAGTGTATTTCAAATAATTCATCGTAAAAAGCAGTTTAACATGCTCCATTTGTCCCCACACAAATGCTAAAAAAAGTTTATTTTCCAATGAAAGTGCTTACTAACTGACCGAATGAGCTACAGGCCTTTATTGAGAACCACCTATAAAAGAAGCCTTCTCAAGAAACTTCATACTGTAGTAAACAGCTAGAGGAACGACAAAAAGAGGTGAAAACTTTAGCTTTCATATTGTTTCAGTACCATATATTTTCACAAGCTGCAATCCCATGATGCTGTACATCCTTTGTTCAGCATTTGGATCAGCTCTTTTGCATCGGACATTAATTGTCCTATTTGTCATCGCTTCAGCAATCAAACCCACAAACTGAATTGGGACTTTATGGCCGTGAAACATCGCATCCGAGGAACTAATTGCCACAATAGCAACACGTGCTTCCTTTACTGCACATTAAGCCCTTCATTTGTAAAGAAATTACCTTTTGATTTTGATAAAGTTTAGTAAGACTATTCATGTCAAGCTCCATCTAAATACCCATTATTCTAACATTCAGCATTAAAGCATTAGGCATTCCAATTTCCATCCTTTAAATTCCCAAGTTGATACCATATTTTCCCGATCGCTAGGATTTTGATATAAATATTCAACTTCTTAAAGGTTTATTAAAAAAGAAAAGGTATAAAGGACCTGCTTTTGCACTTGGGAACTTGCAGTTTCACGAGTTATTTATTTATGTTGCATTCGCCCATATTTGGTTTCTAAGTACCAAGTAGTGTTAGGCTTTTAATAAAGACAATGTAATATGTGAAAGGACTTAATAGAAATGTATAAACTTATATGTATTATATATTAAGAGTAATTGAGCTCTTACAATAGAGCTTAAAATAATGGAAGGTATCCAAATTGTGATATTTTACTCCCTTTAGGCATATGTTCTATTGATCTGTTTTGATTGAGAAATTGGAAACAAATGAAAGGAGTAGTTTAGGAGGGAATCTATTACTTATTGAGTTTATGATTATTTCTAGGAAGAGGAAGGAGGGGAATGAAAGTGAATAACAGCAACTTTTGTCTCTGCCAGTGAAACATTTTTTTTATAAAATATTGGGAAATTGATTTCTAAATTTCGCTCATTAGCAAAATGATGGAATTCCTCTAATTGTTGAAGACATAAAGGTCAAAGTGCAAAAATTAATGGGCTGAAAAATAATTCAGGGAGTGCAAAAATAATGGGCAAAGATAACTTTTAGTCCGTGACAGAAATTATTTATATTCAGTAGCCGCCAAAATGAATAAAATTCATATATTTTTATATATATTATACAGAATATATACATATATTTTTATTTTTTCGTTTATTATTTTAAGAGCGGTTTTATAGTTTTATTTTTCAAAAAATATAAAAAATTCTCACTTCGTGAACCAAAAGAAATTAGAAACAAAGGTACCAAAAGTGTTGAATGCCTATCAAACGGTGTCAATCTTTCTTTATACAAAAACAAGATAGTTCTTGATTCTCTCAATACCGAAGTACCATAGAATCAGTGAATCCCTTTTTTTCTCACCTCAGAAGGTTGAGAAAGGAAGGAAAAAAAAAGAGGAACTAGTTTGGAACTTACATTCCTCCTGACACGAAGACTAATGGCGAAATCAGAAAATTCAATAATTCTTTGTCAGTGGGATATGCAAGGGTGTTCAAAATTTATTTTTTAATCAATAACAACAAATATTTTACCTTATACGTAGTATAATTTTTCGGCGAAGGGTATTCAGTTGACCACCTTTGGGCCAACATAGCTTCACCCTGGCTAAATCAAGTCAATTGACAACAAATATAAAAGCTTGATCCATGACAATACTAGATTCTGAACATTTGCTTCACTAGTTATTCTGATAAGCTACACCAATTAGCATTTATGACTTCTCGTCCCTCCAAGGAAAATATGGCCAAAATCTGCCTGTCAATATGCACATTGTGAAACATTTGTTAAAGAAATAATCACATTGTAGGCTAAAGGCATTAGATATTGTAACATATCATGACTTTACAAAAAGTTCATTTTCTTAGATTCCTCAATATGTTAGAAACACTATCCACAACCTAAATATGTGTCATCAGCCTGAGAAACTGAGCACACTAATTACAGCGCGTGCTGGGAGAAAAATCACTTGAGCATGTCAAAAGAAAAAATGTTAGTAAACCTGCTTGACACTTCTGCAAGAAGTAGCTAAAAAAGAGAATGTTTAAAGTTTGTTAATGGAGAAGATTTATCTATTTCATGACAAGGGTAGATATAAAATGCCATGTGATAAGCTCATCATATTCAAGCCAAACCAAGGCAAAAAGCCCTTTACATAATAGCCGTTTGATTAACAAGCCTTCCTATACTCAATCATAGCTGTAAAAACAACATAAATATATAGTCGACTCAAGGGCAGCCCCGTGCACAAAGCTATTCTGCGTTCACACAGGATCCGGGGGAAGGGCCGCACCCCAAAGGGGTATGATGTAGACAGCCTACCCTGATGCAAGCATCAATGTCTGATTTCATGCCTCGAATCCGTGACCTATATGTCACACGGAGACAACTTGACCATCGTTCCAAGGCTCGCCTCTCAAAGTACTTTAATTTTATCTGGAGAAAAATGCTCTGCAACTGGGATTTAGTCCTTGAATGGGTCATGATCTTAAATCTGTAATATTCCCTACTTGTTTGTTGGAAATGCATTTCGATTCCAACAACTCTTTTACCTTTTGGCCCCTTTAGAAACAGATGCATCTGTTTCGCTTACTCCTAATCCACCATAGCAGCATGTAGAAGCAAGTCTAAACATTGGTAGGACGACTGTGAATAACAGCAGGCAGAAACTTCTTGTTCTTATCAAATGCGATGATTGAATAAAGATATCAAAATGAACTTCCTTCCACAAGTCAGTATTTTTTCTCAAAAAGTTGATACTGCGTTTCAAGAATTGATACTTTCTGAAGACAGTACTCCATAAACAATAACTATGAAGGGCAAAATGAATATCCACACACCAGATAGACTGCTTCCAGATTTCCAAAATAGACCAACAACATCAGGCTCAATAAATATCCATACTACACTCATGCATAGAGCTGCTTTAAGACAAACAAACAAACACTAAAAGTGTCAATAGAATCACAGGAATTTTCTTTTCGCACTAAAGGCTGAGCACAGCACAGTTCCGAAAGATAATTTTCTGTTGTGAAGCAAAGGGTCATTACGGGAACACCAACTAAGATGCAGAAAAGCTTCTCACCACTTGAAGAAGGAATGGCAGCAATCAGATGCATAACACTTGTAGGAAAAGCACCAACTTTCTCTCTTTTCTTTTCCCAAAGTAGAAAGTGACAATCTGTTACTGCTGCTCCTCAAGAAGATTGAATTGAATAGAGGATTGTCTACTTCCTCATTGGATTCTTTTTACAGCATTTAAGGGTACTTATTCTGCATCTTACAGTTATATAACATCCCTATTTTTGACAGCTCTATTTACATTGACGTAATACAAGCCATTTATGGAGCTATCCATACACAAAAGGGCTGATTTTTCTGGCCATCAGCTGTCATCATAGCAGCAGTGTTATGGTTTTCTTGAATCATGTGATGAATTGGCCGAATAAAAGATTGAAAAGCTCTACTTCACCCTCCCTTCAACCCCCAACCAGAAGAAACTAGAGCAGAATTTTGGGATCTCCTTAGGCTGGATATATTGAAATTGCAATTGACGGCCGGAAATTCCTTACTTGTACAAACACAAAGACGTGAATTAATCCGAAGCCTTAAATACTAGTAGAAGAGAAAATTGTGCATGTTTATGTGATTATCATGTCTATTTCAGCAAACAAGATATAAGCACACCACTCAGATAAAGGGCAAATGAATAATAAAAAGATGGCTTTTAGTAACTTATATTCGATAGACGTCCTAAAATAACTGAAAACTATTCAGCAAAAACCTAGCTGAGCTCTTTTATCTGAAAGTTGTACTAGTGTCCCGATCCTTGAGAATCTTCCGGGGGAGATAGATGCTGTTGTTGTTGCTGATTTTGCTGGTGCTGCTGTTGATTGTGAATTCTAGCCTGGTATATCTGGCTCAAGGCTTGAGAGTTCAAAACCCCTATATGACCCCTATCTTGAGATAATCCAAGTTCCAAACCTGGCAATTGCTGGTTATTACTGGAACCCAAAATTGAAGTAAAACTCATATTAGTGGCTGCAGGCAGATCAAATCCAGGAAAGCCAATCTTTTGTAGGTAATAATTGGAACTTTCACTACCCAAATTGGTGCTTGAACTAGTGAAAACAGGAGAAGGTGCGGGCCATATTCCTGCTGTGGCCAAATGGGGTCTTCCAAAATTCCCACACATCATTGGCCAACTGGTCCTAGTACTACTACTACTACTACTAAAACTAGCGGACCCGACTGTGTTCGCTCCCAATTCATCCATTTTTTGATGCAAACCAGCTGATACAGAGATCCCCTGTTGGGAAACAGAGGGGCCAGTGGCTGCTGCAGCTAAAGCCGAGGCAGGGATGGTTCCAGTACCAGTAGCGGCAAATATGGAGGGCTCGGCTTGCTGCAGCAGCCACTGGATTGTCTCTCCATCAGATTTATGACCTAATTCGCGGGTGAGTTGGAAAATCCTTGCGGCGCAGAGAGCAGGCATACGTATCCTCCTCCCTCTGCCTTCAACTTTTGTGTGTCTATCTTTTCTTTTAGGAACCAATTGCTGCAGCTTCTTGGTTTCATCATCTTTTATTTGATCATGAACAGGCTTATTGTACTCAACCATAATATTGTTGTTGCTGTTGTTAATATTGATAGCGTTAGACTGCGCTGCCGGCTGCTTGGGATCCATGAACAAACTCGATGGGTATAACTATTTAAAAGATGTTTGTTTCCTACTAAAAGGAAAAGGCAGATATGTTTGATATTTTCAGAGTGTTGTTTGTGTGTCTTGTTTGAGATGAGAGAAGAAGGTAACCTCACAAAACAGACAAAAAAGGAAAAGAAAGGAAAGTCCCAATGTTCTGATCATTTCAGGAGGTTTTCACTGTCAATCAGTGAGAAAAAGTGAAAGACTGAAACTTTGCTCTTTCAATTCTTAAAAAATATTTTTTGCTCAACCAATTTTTAAAAATTTTTTTTTGCTCATCCACTTCCTCGGTCAAATTCCATGGAAAGACGGCAATTTTGGCAATTTCTGTAGGTAGGTAATATTGTAAATATCAAGAAGAATGTATACTTATGCTGCGGTTTTGTCTACTTCAATTATTAAAGCCCTAACGCGCATAACTACATCGCATTATGATAGTTGACATTCTAGTATACTAATACTTAGTTACGTGGAATAATCCGAAGTGGATCCGGTATTTAAATTTGATAAACTCAACTTTTAAGATTTTTAGTACTGAACTCATTATATTTTTAATTTTAATAAATTTTTAAATGTAAATTTTTGTTCTGCATCAAAAATTATAGATCTAATTGAACAATTACTTCAACACTACATTCGCCCCTTGGGAATAATAGAATGCGTGATTTGACGTGCACACATCATGCACATACATGTGTAGGGTGGAGATGCCTGGGTTTATTTTTAGAATATGGTTGCTTTTGATCCACTCCTATGCAGTCCCATTCATATCATTATTATTAATTAATTATACCCTTACTTACTCCCACATTTATACACAAGATTGTCAAAAAAAAAAATTTCAATCACAAAATTTTAATTTTTTCCCAAGTAAAATGCATGGACAAACACAACTTCAACTTTCAAAAATTATTTTTAAATACGACTTCAAAAATTATTTTTTTCAAGTTTCAACCAAAATCTATGTCCAAACGCCAGCAAAGACAATGGACTTCTCTTGAACACTCCATGTCAAAATTAGATGCCCGAATTTTTATGATACTAGTATCTATAAACGTGCGTTGCACGTTAATAATGACACATGATGATTTAAATATTTATTTATATGAAGGAACAATAAATTTAATTAATGAGAGAAATTTTATATATAATACTACAACATTTATCTAAATGCCGAAAAATATTTTTAGATTAGCATAATACGTGAATTCAAAATGAAAGAATATCATCATAACTTACATAAATGATCAATTTTAGTCATGTTAAGTAGATAATTATGTATTGTAGTTTAAAGGTATATAATATGATAGTATCTTATAGAATACTTCTTTATAGACGGTGTTTTTTTGTATATGTTTTCTTCTAATGCTTTGGTTACTCTGCGATAACCAGAACTCTTGTTGTCATTATTGATATCTCTCTTGAAAGTGCAACATATAGTTATTCATATAAGAAAACATATTGTGGTAAATATAGTTCAATATTTAGGATGTTCCTTGTGCTTTATTTATTATAACTATAAAAATATAAACATACTGAAAATTATTTTCACACAAATTTGAAAGGATATTCTTTAGTTTATGAAGACGAAAGTTGAATTCGGGGATAAACACATACTTGAAAACACATTGATCAGTATCATAAGTTCTGCATGTATGGCGTTATTGTCAAAACTTCTATATACTATATGTGTACTATTACATAAGCTATTTGTCACGACCCAAATCCGCGTGACCGGCACCCGGCACACTATCCGACCCGAGCGAACCAACCCATATGATGCACCCAAACCACATGCATGAAAAACTAATTTAACTACGGAAGCTCTTTTTGAAAATTTTATATATTTTCAAGTTAAACCATGGAATAATTTTCCAACTCAAAATCATACCTGGAGCCTCTCATAATCATAACAATGAGAGTAAGTAAAGTAAATATATTTTCATGTATGTCGCGTACAATTCCATTACTACAACTTTTCACAACTATCTACAGAGCCTTTATACCCAGGAATAGAACTAAACACTTGGGCTAATGTCCGACTAACATAAATTAAGAAATAACATGATAGCTACCACAAAATAGGAGTGGTGCCTTGCCATATACCTCAGGAAGAGAGTCATCCTAGCCATGTCCGTATGCCACGTACCGTACCTCGTCCTGAAACATGTAAAGTAAGTAGGGCCTTGGAGGGAGGGGGACTAAGGTCTGAGTACACCACAACGGTACTCAATAAGTGTCATAGACTCTCTCTAACTCAAGTTTCTGGGACAAGATTTTACAAAAACAGTGCAACCAATATTGGACATAAAGTGATAAATAATTATATAAAGCACGCTCTTTATCATTTTAGATAAAAGACAAGTGAAATGTAAGCCATACTATAAAGTTTTAAAACATCTCTATCAACCCAAGATTTTAATAGAAATCATATAAAACCATTTCAATCTCATTAAATCATTGAAATCATTTTTGGCTCCTTAGGCCTAAACATAAGAAAGAACTATTTTACCTTTCACCGGGAGTACTATACTGACACCGACTTAATAAACAACTACTAGGTGATCGACCTAGTAACAAGTATTTGACCCTACTTGTCTGGGCGGCTTCCCGTAGTGCCGTACAAGTCGACTTAATCTCATTACTTTATGTAATGATCATTTGCCCACTCAATTGGGGACTTTATCTCACAAACCTCGGCTTAGCATTGGAATGTGTCCCTACACTGGCACGTGTAGTTCCATGGTAACGAACTCGGCATTCGAACCGATCTCGGTGGTCTCCACTAGTAACTCCCAAAATATTTGATATTTCAAAAATAGATTCATAGCATAATTGCCTCAAAGGATCTATTATTACCAAATCATGATTTTCATAGTCAATCCAAACCATTTGAATAAAATCAAATGAATAATCTTTTTTCATGTTAAAGCCTTTAGTAATTAACGTAAACCTTAAGATACAACAAGTGCTTCCTTTGGTGAAATTTCAAAAGATAATCTTTTTCATGAAAGCATATATTTAGCAGTCAAGCATTTTATACTCTTATCAATAAATAAGTTTTAATAAAACTTATAAGAATTTCCTTAAGTGTCATTTTGCCAACAAATTTTGAAAATAAAACTTTTATAAAATCTCATGAAACTTCATAAGAAACAATTTAGAAACACATAGTGACATTTTTCTCACTTGTACCTACACGTATGGATGTACATTTACAAACCAACTCACGTAATAACTCAAATATGATTTTAGAGAAAATCCCTCAAGAAGAGTAAGTATTAATCAACTTACCTCAAACTTCAAGCTCCGAAAATAATACAATGCTCCAATTGATTAAAATGTCCAAATATCACCCACAATTCAATACCTACCATTAGATATCCCAACTACATTAAAACAAATACGAAAAGATTCATAAATACCCATTTAGGCTTCACAATTCGGCAACAAACCTTCAACCATCCCAAATTATCCAATAGGCTCATCCATTAGCTTATTGAATTCAATTATTATCATTTAATACTCATTTGGAGTCATTAATAATACCATGTTAGTTACCCAACATCATCAAGTCACTATTTATTGCCTTCTCCAACAAAAGTCTAGGTTCAAGAACATCCATTTCAAGAACTAATGTTGTATCTTATCCAAATAGTGATTCCCAATTAAATTCGTGCATCAATTAAGTTATCAAGTTTATTGGAATTATTAGAAACTCAAGACATATATATTTATATCAATTCATCACTATTCATCTTCTTCTTTACCCAAAAATGGCATTCTCAAGACCCACTCTTAGGGTTCATACAATATCCCATTATAACTTCAAATAAAACTCATAAACATACTACCCATACTCCAATATGACATATATATGAAGATCAAGTGAAGGGATTACCTCTTGGCGGAAGAATATAACTTTTTCTCTTTTTGGTGTTCTTGAAGATTTAACCCATTTTCTATGGATTTGATCCATAATAATGTTAGTGTTATCACTAAATGATGTTATATAATTATCCTTGTACCAAAATAACTTACCTTGGAGTGTATCCATGGTGGAAGAGCTCCTCCTTCTCTCTAGAAATCAATTCCAAGTTGAAGAACTAATATTTTCTCTCTCTAAACCCCTTGTTTCAGCCCCTTTAAAATGACCCTTGGAGCTGCGTAGCCTCCTGCGTAGGCTACGCACAATGGCTACGCATGATGGACTTCTATTCCCCTTCATTTTGGAAGTTTCTGGATTTGCCTACGCAATGGTGCGCAGGCTACGCTGTTATGGTGCGTAGACTACGCTGCTATGTTGCATAGGCTGCGCAGACTCGCATAGCTGTTCTATCACTCTTTAGTAAAAAGGTCATAACTTCTTGTAGGAATCTCCAAATCACAAACGGTTTAAAACATTAGAAACTAGACACATATACCTTTCATTTAATAGGTTATACACCATATAACTCTTCATATATTGAGAGGTATGCTCGTTTGAAGTTAGGTCTTATGCGAACTCACTTGAAACTTTATCCCATCATATAATTTTCAACTTGACTTAGCCTTAGGTATCTTATTAGACCATAAGCCATTCTTAATACACCTCATACATATATTATCATGATCAAATGATATAATTTAAATTATTAGTCATGTTCATACCCGAATTAATATAATTAGCACATGCCAATCTTCTTAATGGTCTTAAAACACTTCGAAATCTTTTTCGGGGTGTTACACTATTTATCGGATCAATGTTTTCAGTAGCATGACATGCATATTTTTCTTCAAAATCAGCCTATATACAATGGAAGATCAATTTTAACTTAGTCTATTATATATATGGTGACACTAACATACATAAGAAATAATGAACTTGACAACAAATATGTATAATAGAAGGCCATTTGGTATTAAAGTATTTAAGTATTCTTCTTGGTAGTTGTTGTTAGTATCATCTTCTGCTGAGTCAAAACTGAAAAATATTTTATTTTTACCATAAAACTTAGCAATCAATCTTTTAGTTGATCAACATATTCATTTCTACTAGCTAAGATAGCTCTTTAATTTCTATCATGTTATTTGCACAAATTGCATTTTAATCTAATAATGAAAATATTTTCCTTATTAAATGTACTACTATTACTATTGGGGTTGATAACCAAGTGTTCTAGAAGAACCAAATTAGTTTTTATTGGATGCTCTTCTTCGTTTCTGACACAAAGCAAGCAGTCACTGAATGCTGGATTTGTTCTTACTTTTATATTTATTTTTC